AGCATCAATCTCTGTTCAGTTGAAGCGTTCTGAAGCATCTTACAGAGGCGACGTCTGTTTGCTTTATTCCTGTCGCGCCTCGTCTCCAAATACACCTTACTGGTTGTTGTTGTATATTCATATATATATATATAAATATATATATATTTATTTCGGTCCTTGCTCACAATATCCAAGCAGCAGACCCAGCAACAACAACTCCGCAAAGGGGCATCCTCCAAAAAGTATGAAGCGCACAATATATTTTTAGTTGACACACGTACACGTTTGTTTAGCAGCTGCGTGTGTGAGTGTGTGTGTGTGTGTGTGTGTGTGTGTGAGTGTGGTTGTGTGTATGTATTTGGTTTGATATTTTAAGTATCCTGTTTGCGTTTTGTGGGCTTCTTCGGCTAGCGTTTGCTGTTGTTGCTTCCTCCGTTTGTTATTCTTTATTCTTTGTTTAGTATTATTTGCGTAAATGGCATTTACGCTTTTCTCTTCTTTTCCCACAACTTTGTTGGCTTTACATTCCAATTCGATTTACCGAAAATGTCTGCATATGTATATATATAAATATATATATTTATATATAATTATAAATGAGATTAATTTTGATTTCACACTTAGTATTATTAAGTTATTGTCGCTGTTGCTTATTGTCAACGTTGTGAAAAAGTCATTTATTAGCTTAGTTTTAGCCAGGTGCAAATAACAATGTGCAAATTTGTTTGGTTCCTTAAGCTAATTTTATTGTCACACACACATTTTTAATACTGTCACATTTGTGGCTTAAAAAGTGTTATCTCAAATTTGTATTGTCTTCAAGTTTTTACATTGGCCTAAAATGCTTTTCGTTAATTGTTTCATTTAAAAACTCTAATCAAAATTGTGCCGTTTCATTTCCATATTCTGTATACTCTCTCTATTTAAGTGTCATCTTATTTTTCTCATTTGCTTTGCTTATCATTCTTCTTGCTATATTTGTTGTTGTTGTTTTTGTTGTTACTTCAGGTTTCAGCTGCTCCTTCTGCTGCTGCTGCGGTCGTTTGTCTGTGTTGTTGTTGTTACTGCTGCTGCTGCTGCCTGCTGGTGGAGGTGATGGTGGTGGATGGTGGCACCGTTGCACGCGCCGCACTCGTAGCACGTGCTATGGCCACGACGTCAGTCTACGACAACCGCCTACGCACTGCAAGCACGCCGTCGCGTCGCGGCCATTTCAATTACAAATTCATGGAAGAGCGCGCAGACTATCAAAGTAAATCCTTACTCAACATCTATCTCAACACACAACAAATCGACCATAATCACGAGTCGATAGACATCGTTTTTAAAAGCAAGCATTGAAAGAATGTTTGAAATATTTGGTTCTTATGCTTGTTTCTTATAAATATGCTTTACTTTTTAAATCGCATTCATGTCTTTTATTATCAAACATAATTCATTTAAAGATATTGTTTAAGTTTAGTTACGAAATCATCTTTACAAACAACCGCCAAAACAATCAGCCATGTATCGATTCAAACGATGATTTCAGGTACAGTCTATCGATAGGTGTGCTTAACGCTCTCTTAAGGTGGTGAGTTTCTAACCTTTTGGGCGCCTGTTGGCATGCACTGAGTTTTATACAGCAGGAACAGCACCTGCCGGGGCCGGCAATGGTAATTTGTATTGAAAGTGTGCCCAGAGAGAGCGTAGCACGCGTTGCTCTCTCGCAACGAAACTCACCATACTGGCTCACTCTTCAGGCTAGCAGCAGCCTCTTTGCTGCTAGCTTAAAAGTGAAAGCAAGATTCCTTTATTCTTTGCCCCGTAAAGATGTCTTTAAGGGTAGAATAACTGGCAGCAAAAAAGCAACATGGCTTTAATAATACGCTATTAAGTAATTATCAGCAATGTGTTTAATATACTTGCCAACGTAAATATATCTGCTTACGTGGAACGCCTGGAAGCGGAACACTGTTGTTCTTTGACAAGCCAAACAGAGAACAGGGTATGCACTAGTCGTGCTTTCAGCTAGTAATCAATAGGTCAAAGAGACACTCGGAAACTTGTCTAATGCATAATGCGCTTTATCTACGTGTGACTTTGTGTCTGTGTGTGTGTGCTTGCTTGTGTTTGTTTTGCTTGTGTAAAATGCTGTGCTTACAATTAGCTATTGTTGATTTTATTTATTGCTTGCACACACACACACACATACAGGATGTATGAGTGTCCTTGTACTTGGCTGCATAACACTTCTGGCACGCGTGCATCTAAAATGCAGCTTCCTCTTTGTGCCTCGGCGGCTATCGTTTTCCAGTGTTGAGCAAAAACAAAAGCCAAATGCAACGCAAGCTGCAGACAATGGCAACGGACAAGGATGTGTGGCAATGGAGGATCTGTGTGGCACTAGTTCCGTGCCTTGCGACAAACAAGGAAGTCATAAATTTTCCAAATGGTTAACAGGTGCATTTGAAGTGACCTCGCGCGAGGCAGAGAGAGCGAGAAGGATAGAGCTATCATATGTGTGTGTGTGTGAATTAGTGTAGTTTAGCTTTATACCGAGAATTTAAGATGGGCGCTATAACTGATTCACTATCTATATATGGATGCAGTGCAGCAGTGCCATAAGAATGGAAATCAATCATGATGTCAGCTGCTGTTGACCATCATCAGTCAACCAAATAGAGCTGCTCACTCTGCGTGTATTTGGCGTGACACGAATAAGCACGATTAATCAAGCAAGCACAAATTAAAATCAAATTAATGTTAGATAGTTTTAATAAATAATAAAAATAAAAACAGTCTTCATATTAGATCTGCAACTTTTTTCCATTTTAATTTTAGGCTTGTGGAAAAACTCACACAAAAATCTGCGATCACTTACCGCTACTTGAAGAAGAAGAAGAAGTTGATGTTGTTGAAGTGCTGCGAGTGCTGCGACTAAAGCGAACTGCAACAGCAAGAGAAATGAAATGGCTGCCAGCCAAACAGACAGCTAGAAGCCTGTGTGTGTGTGTTTGTAAGGACTTTTTTGCGGCGTTGCTCATGAAAATTCCATCAACTTGAAGTTGCCATCAAATTTTATGCAGATTTGTGGCCAACAGCGTTTGTGAGTCAGCGGAAATTCTACGAAGCGAACAACAAACCCCTCCAAAGAAAAAACTCAACTCACAAACGCCTGTTGCATGGCAATGCGTGTTTCTATATACACGTACACATACATATATTTGTAGCTATGTATAAGTGTGTATGCGCGCACGTACTTGTATTTCAAGGGGGGCACTCGAGCAATGTGGCGTTAATAAGTGCAATTTATGCGGAAAAAACCTCAACTGCCACACGCAAATAGAGTGTGACAAACAGGTAGACTCGTGGCGGGCTTATTCTTATGCTCAATTACCAATTGTTGAATTGAAAATTAAACTGTTTATATATATTTTTAACGATTAAAGTGCAATTTTAATGAAAATGTTAATCACAACTAGTACATTGCACAGCATATTTAACGGATAACAGTGCAGTTAAGCTTGGCTTACTGCTCAACTGAAATGTTAATTAGCATTAGCACAAGAAATAGCTTTGTGACATAATTAAACATAATATTGACATAATGATTAGTTTACAATAATTGATTACATTGCAATAATTGATTACAGAGGAACACTTCTGCACATTAAAATGGTAAATAGTCAAAAGTGCGAACTGCCGACGGCAGCAAGAAGCGCACTTAATACAAGTTTGCCACAGAGGGAGAGCAGGAGAGTGACACCTAATCGGCTTTAATTTAATTAGCTGCTCTTCTCAAAGGTAATAGACCAAGTGGCAAGCACTAAGCTGCAGCGGTGACATTCAAGTATACTCCACACAGTGGACAGACGACACGGATCGCAGCAGCAGTAACAAACAGCTGCCGATGAAAAAAAAAAATAAAAAAAAACAAAGCAAATGTCGAGAATAAAAAGCACTTTTATTACAAACACACACACACACATACATTGAAAAGAGTGCGTGTTTATCTCCTGTGCGTATGTTAAAAGAGAGAGAGAGAGAGAGAGTGAAGAAAAAAAAGAGAGAAAAGGCCGCATCTTTCATGGCAAATTGTCAGGTGCTAAGCTCTGATAAAGTGCTCAACGGGCAAAAAAGTTAAGACCACGCACCGCACACACTACACACCCACACACACACATACACGCCACATAAACTGCGCACTGAGTTGTTAGGAAACAAAACGAAGACACAAACATATTTATTCAATGTGCGCCTCAACTTTTGCTTTGTTTACACTTCGTTCGCTGCTGCGTTGCCACAGGTCAATTTGGGTTTTCTCTGCTTCTCGTTTGCAAGTTTCAATATGGAAAATTTGTTTTTGTTTTTTGTTTTTGGTGTAGGCGCAGGTAAGTGTAAAAGAGAAGCCTGTCGCCGATTTGAGGCATTTCATACATACATACACATACACATGTGTGTGTGTGTGTATGTGTGGGGTATTTTGTTTATGGAAAGTGTTATTGTTTGAGTTTGAACTTTGGCACTTGTTTGTCGTCCGTGCGTAAGTGGGAGAGAGAGAGTGAGGGAGGGAGGGAGAAGGAGCAGGAGCAATGAGTGTGTGTGCCTTGGACCAAAGTTGATGACAGGCCCTAACAATATCATAAAACTTAATGCGCTCGTTTTTCATGGGTTAACAGGGGCACACACACACGCCCAAGTCAAATAAATCATAAGCGCACAATTTTATTACTTAATTTTTGCTGCACGCTTATTTAGAATGATTGAAATGCAGCGTTTAGCAAAGGATTTGCCCAAAATTAATGTTACCCTGCTTTTATAAAGGCTGTTCGCAAGTATGCCAAATACTATATCAAAGTTTATATCAAGCATAGTAATGGGGTTTGTTTAAAGTTGCCGCCACATGTTACAGCAGTGCTGCCACTCTGCTAAGTCCGCTCGCTTTCCAACACTGCTTGCAGTTGTGATTACAATGACGCATCGCTACTGCTTATCGAATATTCGTCGAGCTACCACCACTAATACTGTCGGTCTTTACAAATTGTCAGGGAAATATTTACGGACGCAAAAGAAAATATTGATAAAAAAAAAGTATAATGGACGACATACGCAGCAGCTTAGACAACATCATGGAGCGCTTCAACGATAGCATAACACACTCGGCGCCAAAGAAGCTCAGCTTCGACCGGCTCTCCATGTCCTTCACCGAAGACTCCGTCAGAGGTAAGCCAAATAATAATAAGAAGAAAACACAATTTGCAAATTAGTAAAACTAAAATTGTATACCGAATAGTGCCCAAGAAGCGACGCATCGACAACAGCCTGGACAATAGTTCGCACAATGTCAGCTTCAATTTGAGTTGCACATCGCAGAACAACTCGTTCAATGATCCAATGGGTCCTTGGCAGACGCGCAAATTGCGCGCCGAATTAATTGAGACAAATGCGATAATTTCGCAGCTGCAGGAGCAACTCGGTCAGCAAACCAAGGAGCAACGTGCTCAGCTCGAGCTGGCCGAGAGTAAATCTGAGGCGTTGAAAAGACAATGCGATTACACAAGTGCCCGTCTGCTGGAGATGGAGCAGCAGCTGAAGGTGCTGCACAAGCGGGAACATACCGCCCGGCAGGAGGCGAATACTGCCTGTGCTGAGCTCGCCCAGCAGCGCACCAAATACGAGACGGCGCTGAACCGTGCGGAGCAGGAGAAACTGCAGCGCGAGGAGGATGCACGCCAAGTGCAGCATTGCATCAGCAACGAGCTGGGCGAATACAAGCGGATCAGCGAACGTGCCGAACTCCAATTGCAGGCCACCCAAACCGAACTGGAACGCATACGTGTGCGTCACGATGAGTACAAGGCGAGTGCCGCCAAATACGAACAACTCCACGCGGATTATCAGTTGCAGGAGCAGAGTCTCAGTACTGCAAATGCCCGCATCAAGGAGCTGGAATATGAAATCGAATCCTATGCCGACTGGAAAGAGGTAACCAAAACGTCGCAAGCTCGCCTGCTTAGCGTGCCCGAACTACAAGCGGAGGTGGATCGCCTGCGTACGCACAACAAGCACCTGAACACGCTGATTGGGGAAAAGCTGCTGCTCGAGGAGCAGGTGCACGACTACAAGACGCGGCTGGATCGAGAGGAGGGCGCCCGAGCCGAGGCGGCGGCGTTGCAGGTGAAGCTGACGCATGTGGAGCAAGAGCTCAAGGAGTGGGTGAAAGTCGCCCAGGATCATTGCCTGGCCAATACGCTGGTCAGCCCCATGGCGCTGCGCACACGCATCGAGCAACTGCTCCAGGCGGACATAATACGCGCCGCCGAAAAAGGCCACTCAGAATCGGAGGCAAAACAGCTGCAGTCGAAGCTGCGCGAGCTGGAGCAAAAGTGTGCCGTTTATCTGAAGAACTTTGATGACATGAACATCGTGCTGAAGCGCCACAAGAGTCTGCGGGAGCGTTTGCAGCGCAAGCTGATGATTGTCTGCAAGGAGCGTGATTTCTACAAACAGCTGCTGGAGAACTTTGACAAGGATCTGACGAATTCGACAAATGCCACGCACACAGCGGACATGACAAACGATATGCAGATACGCTATCGTGTTGAGGTGCTCGAGCGCACCCTGACCGGCTACAAGGAGATGTGCTCCACTCTGGAGCGTGAGATGCAAGCGATGCGTCAGCATGAATCGCTCAGCGATCCGACGCCGGGTGAGTTTGGCTACGAGAGCGTTAAAAAGGAGCTGGACACGCTGCGCATGGAGAACGAACGTTTGCGACGACGCAAGGATGAGCTCGAATTGGAGCTGGAGCATCGTTGTCTGCGCGGCGACTTCAACATGGGCAACTACAAGGTGCTGCATCTCACTGAGAATCCAGCGGCCGATGCATACGAGGCCACCAAGAACATTGTCGAGAAACTTCAAGCAGAGGTGAGCAAAATGAATGACTCCCTTACACAGGAGAGAAGTTTTTTAAATTGTTTTGGCGATCGTTTTACAGATTGAGCGATTGAAGCGTCGCAATCGGAAACTGGAGGAGGAGAGCAACGAGCAGACGCAGTCACGTTTCAATGAGACATGCAGCTCGGGTGGCGCCGGCGGTGGCATGACCATGAACTTCAAGGAGTTCAATCAGCTGCGCGCCGAACTGGAATCGGCCAATGGAAAAATGAAGAAGATGAAGGAGTGCTTCAAGGCGGCCAGCAAGGAGTTTCGCGATGTCTGCTATATGCTGCTCGGCTATAGAATCGATCGTGTCGGCCCCAACAGTCATTATCGGTGCGTATTTTAAACGGTGTATATATATATATAGATATATATATTATATGTAATCGCTTGTGGATATTAATTGCAAATTGCATTTAACCAGACAGCATTTTAAGATTACAAATATTATTTGAAATTGAAGGTTTGCATTTAAAACAATTCCTATTTCGGAGAACTGTTGCCAAAATTGTGAATATTAATTGCTGAAAGTTCTATTTTACTTGTCGTCATTTTAAGATTGCTTCTTATTTTAAGTTTAATACTTGCTAAAGATCTCATTTAATACAGTTTCCATTTTCTGAAACCTGTTTTGAATAATAATTGCTAGAAATTCTATTTTACACATATTTCAAATTTCATGTTTGCCAAAGAAAACTTTTGTATATAGTAGATATTAACTGCTGGAATTTTGATTTTAATGTTTAATTTCAATCAATCAATTTAAGACAATACCTTTTTCTAAATTTAGAACAGTTCAGTCACAAATTTTTATATTTTCAGGCAGTTTTAAATCGTTGAAATTAATTTTTAGTTTAAGCAATTTGTTGATTGAATGAAGAATGGAAACTGTAATATGCAAGCTAGAACTTTATATATCTATGAATAGTTAAGAATTTAGAACACTTTCAGAAATTCTTTCAAACACTTTAAAGATTCTGTAAAAAATCTATTAAACTGTACAATTCGTAGATTGAATAATAATTTCTATAATGATTTTGTGTAAAATGTTTTAAATTGCTGTTCACTTCACATTTCTGCAAACTTTAATATCCAAGCGAGCATTTTATCATATTATATATTTAATTTATATATATATATATATATATTCGTTATATATTTCGGGTATATTTAATTGTTTTTTTTTTGTGAGTCACCAAACTAATTGCGCATTGTATGTCTATAAATAAACAGGATTTCCAGCATGTATGCGGAGAGTCCCGATGACTATCTATCGATCAGTGTGAATGAGTCCAACTGTTTGGCTCTGTTGGAGTCGCCGTATTCGCAGACCCTCAAACCGGCCATCGATCAGCAGCTGGCAGCCAATAACTCATTTCCCGCTTTCTTTGCCGCACTCACATTGGAGCTCTTCCAGCGTGCCACAGTCACAATTACCTAAAAAAGCAGCAGCAACATTCACACACAAACACACTCAAGCATATTGTATACTTAATATTAATTTTCACACTTAGCTTATAGACACATAAATACATAGAAATAGCATTTAAATGATTTATTTATTTCTATATATTATGCTTTATATCTGAACTCACAGCTTCCGTACGTAGCGCGATAAGAAGACTTTGGCCGGCAGAATTCTTTGTGCCTCTCGAGACGCGAGACGGGAGGAGAGAGATAGAGAGAGAGAGAGAGGACCGTCTAGGACTTTGGCCAGTCGAGGGCGCACTGTCAGCGTTTTGGCCACAACATTTCTAATTACCAATTACTTTCGGCCGTTCCGATAAACGACGACGAAAAATTCTTTGACTAATGAAGTGCGCTCAAAAGATTTGCGTTATTTGTTGCTGGTTTTTTGTTGGTGTTAAATCGTCGCGATAAACACGAAAACCGCCCACACTTTTGTCATTTTACCGATGAGGTTTTATTTTTGTCGATTTTTGACTTTGTCTTTGGCTTTCTTTTATATTTAATTATTTTTAGGTTGGTTTGGCGTTTTGCTTTGTGTGATAAGCGCGCGATTTGCACAATTGGCGAGCCGCTCAAAAGGCAAACGAAGCGTTCTTCTATATAGAAGAAGAAGCAGGTTACTATATACTACTATATATTCATATATGTAGCACATAGCATATATATGTATGTGCGACTTAAAAAGCTATTGTGCATTTTGAATGGGCGCGAAAAATAAACAAACAACAGAATAATAAGTCGGGAATGGAAACTCAGCTGAAAGCGAAACATAAATACACTGGAAAAATAGACGAGCATCTGAAGTAGAGCTATGTAGTAAATGCTAGCAAGTATTTAAGCTGAACTGTAATTAGTAATAGTAAATTATTAGTATTATTAGTATATTCTTGCTAGCGTCAACTGTTCTTAATTTTATTTGAAAACTTTTGAAAATAACTAAAATAAAATCTAAAAGATTTACTTGATCTGCACTTAAACAATGTTTAATTATTAATCATTTCAGACATTTTAAATTATATATAGTAGCAACAACTCAAATAAAATATACTATATAACTTGAATCCAAGAATTGTTTATACAAGACTCAATCGATATTAATTAATTAAATAGAGTTAAGCAACAAGGAGTACATATTCATACTTTGTTTGAGTATGGCAAATTTATATTATTTTAACTTTAGGATGGTTTTTATAAGAGCACTGCATTGAGTGTCCACTGTACTTGTGCTGCTCAATTTCACAGTCAAATAAAGCTAATGCCACAGCTCAAACGCTTGCTAATGCGAACAGTGGATAATATCAGTTTTCAGAACATGGTATTATATATATAGGTTGGGTTAGGATGGGATAGGTTAGATTATATTGGGTTACGCATAAAAACCTACTCATTTACTCTCGTATTCGGATTCTAATTTCAGCAGAATGGAAAAGTTTACCCAGGAGCCGAAGAAGTGTTTTGAACATTCTTCTTCTTTGAGTCTATATTTCTACAGCATAGGAAATAAATGAAATCCAAATCGTATTTTTATATAACACTTATTTATTATTATAAATGTAACTCTTCTATATTTTCATATGAAAATTGCAATTTACTTTAAAATTCTTCTTAAAAATAAAAAGCTTTTTAGTTTTTGTAAATCTGAGCCTGCTTTGAAAATGAAATCGAAAAACTCTTTCGATCTTGCAAAATGTGTATTCAAAGCAAAAACCATTTTTTCTGCAAATTCTGGAGAAATCTTTTATGTAAGCATTCAGAGTATGCTTAACTTAATACATTTTTGTTTATTAATTATAAATAGTACTCTATTCAAATAAATATTACCAAACACTACACTTAAGCGCAAGAATTGTTTATATTAGACTCAAACAATTTTAGATAAACAGACCAATATAAGGAAATATGCAACATTTAAATGGTATCTATGTAATGAATATGTACTGTACTAACAGTAGTATCGAAAGATTGAGTACTGCTTATACTAAAGTTTGAAAATAATCAAAAAAGAAAACTGTTTTTGAATTTGACTTTAGTGCAAAAAGTTAGCATTTGGTTTTCATTAGACGACTGTATTGAATGCCCACTGTACTTGTACTTGTCTGCTTAATTTCACATTCAAAGAGAAGAGAAGAAATCCATACAACAATAAATTAAACAGATACATTTATATTGCATAGAAGATATATATATAGATATATTGGAATACGTATATTAAGCTGATGGATGTCCCGCTTCCAATTAGTTGGCCAAGATGCGAGCAACCTGATCGGGCGTCTTGTGGAGCAACGCCTCGGGCTGCTCAAAACCATTTGCGGGATCATGGACACGCTCATAGATCTGCTTGTAGATGGCCACGATGACATTGAAGGAGCGGCGCTGAACTGTGCTGCGATGCGAGCTGGACATGATCAGCTGGACCTGCGGCAGGAGCAGCACATCGGGCAGCTGTAGAAACGCATCCATTTTCGACATGAATATCTTCAACAGATTCGTCTCAATTTTGGTCTGATTGCTCTGCAATATGGTGTAGATCGGTCCCAGATTCAGATTGGCCACCAGCGAGGATGCCTGCTCGGAGGTGAGCGTGTCCAGCTGTGCATCCGACTGGGCCTGCAAGCGCTCCACCCGCTCATCCATATACTCAAAGACAGCCAGCGTGCTCTGCATGTGATAGAGACAATTGAGCAAATAGACAGCCATATCCACTGTGGGTAGGTGGGCGGCGCTCTCCTGCACCGACTGCAGCAGCGGATCAATCACGCACGTCACAATCTTCGTAATGTCCGCCTGGCGACCATCCACCATTGTTGCCACCGACAGGATCTCCTTGAGAATGTTGAGGAGTCGTGCCACACTCGGCGGCGGCACCAAATCACGTTGTGGCGGCTCCAGCGCCAGACTGCTGCCCGCTGGTCGCTGGAGGACGCTGCGCACCTGGCTGGCCAAGGCATTTAGATAGATCTGCTCACTGCTCTGCTGCAGCTCGATGAGGCACTGCTCGAGGCTGCCGCCTTGCACCACCTGTTTCATGATCTGCTGATAGAAGCGCAACAGATTCGAAATGGTGAACAATACGATGGTATCCGGCTCCGAGCTCAGTATCGTCTCCACGCGCACCTTGAGCGGATGACAGACGCCATCGGCTATATAGCTGAGCGCCTTTTGCATTTGCTCCGATATATCTGAGAAGGAGATTAGGGATAACAATTGACTAGAAATCGCTGATAGCATTTACTTACCGTGCTTATCGCACTTCTTGAAGAGCAGCGTCAGATTCTCCTTCTCGTTGGGTATGCTCTGGTGCAGCCAGGCGAACATGTCGCCAATGTAACGCTTGGGATCGTGGGCGTGCAGCTCAATAGGCTTGGGATTCCCGCCGGGACCACCTTCGGTCAAGGCCTCAATAAACTGGCGCACGAGCACAGCACGGCGTGCAATCGCATACTCATCGATGACATACTTGAAGAGCACCGGTCTGTCCTGCAATCGACTCATGGCCTCCACGATCAGGGGGCCAATTTCATTGTTCTCCAGATTGCGGCAGTGGTTCTGGGTCCAGCGATAGAGGCGCTCCAGTGCGCCCTCCTGATGCAGCGTCATCTCCTCCATGATGTCCAGAGCGGCCGTCTGATAGCCGCACTGCATAAGCAGCCGGCAATCTGAATGAATCGACTGCACCCGATCCAATACCTTGAAGAACTCCGGCACAATGGGCGCATCCTTGGCGCTGCCATACAGCAATTGGTGCTCCGGCACGCTGAGCTGAAAGCGTGTTAGAAATGCCTGCGCAATTTGCTGATGAATCTCCAAACGTTCCCGCTCCTCCTGCATTTTGTTTGTCTGCTCGATGAGATCTTTGGTCAGCGCTTTCGATGTCTCCAGATCAGTTTTCATCATTTGCACCGATGTGGCCATCGTGTCCAGATCCGTGCAGACAGCATCCAGCGTCAACTTCACCTCCCGAAATGCCTTCAAAAAGTTCTCGTTGATGCCAACGGATCGTTGCTCGATTTGACTCCGCAAATTTCGGCGATTCTGCAGCGTATTCTCTGTGAAGAAGCTGGACAGGCCATTCAGGGCATCCAATGTGTCCTTGTCCGTTTCGAGGCGCGTCTCCAATATTTTATTGACACGCTTCTGTATGCGGTCCTGATCCTCTTGGACGGCGCTCATTTTTACCTCTCAAATTGGCGACGTCAACAAAACAATCTAGACTCTCACACGTTTATACGTCACTTAATCGACGACTTATGTCACGAAAACGAGATGATAAAAGAGTGCGTTACTGTTATTGTAATTATCTATAATAAGCAAGTGTCGGATGGTCTATATGTATTACATATGTACATAAATAGCTTTTAAATAAAATATAAAGATATTGCGATTTACATTAGTTTGTGATTTGCTTCTCATGTAAACTTTGCAACAGCTGATACACGCAGCGCTGCCAACTTAGCGCATACCATAAATATACACGCTTCGCAGTGAATGGCTAAGCTGGAAAGAAAAAAAAAGCAAAAACTGCGTAAAATAAACACAAAAATTGCAATATTTAAACCAATTTGCCATTTATTTAAGTACGGATAACAAATAACAACTGCAATGAGCCACTCTGCCCTGGCCAGCTTGACGGCACAGTACACGGACTCGGACAACGAGAGCGACTCCAGTCCAGATTCACAAAACTCAACAGCGTCTCAGGTGGGAAATTTAACTTAATTTCTGAAATTAATAATTATAAACTTAAATATGCCAATAGGTAATTATACCAAAGCAGGCAACTCCGACGCCTTTGACGCCCGCTAAGCCGGATGCGGAGCCCGCTAAAAAATCTAAGAAAAAGAAGCCGTCAAATAAATTGAGGCGTCTAGTGAGCTACCAGGATGACACCTTAATCTCCGACGAAGAGGAGGATCATGCGCACGAGTCCAGCGAGGAGGAGGAGGGGGAATCGTCCTCGTCTAGCGATACTGCCAACTCGGAGGCGGAGACGCAGCACGAGGAGAAGAGTCGCGCCAAGGGAGGCGAAGGCGGCGCCGAGGCTCGCGTGGAACGCATGCACGATGAGGCTTCCAATACCTACAACGCCGAGGAGCGTTCGGCGGAGAGTTACGAGAAGGATCCCAAATATGCCAAATACAAATTTCAATTGCCGCCAGAGCCGAAGGGGAATCCGCCGCCAGAATTGGTGGCAAAGATCACGAAAATGTATACGAAAATGCGGCAGACGAATATGGACATGAATCGTGTCATTCAGGATCGCAAGGAGTTCCGCAATCCCAGCATATACGACAAGCTCATCAGTTTCTGCGACATCAACGAGTTCGGAACGAATTATCCGCCAGAGATTTATGATCCGCTGCAGTGGGGCGAGGAGAGCTTCTATGAGGCATTGTCTGCGGTGCAGAAAACGGAGATGGTCAAGCGACAGAAGGATCGCAAGGACATGGACAAGGTGGAGCAGGCAACGGCCCTGGCCCGTAAAGTGGAGGAGGAGGCCAAAAAGCGGTAAATAAATCAACACAAATTAAATAAATTCAATTGTTTTCACATCTCTAATTTGGACTTGTTTTGCATTTGCAGCAAATCTAAGTGGGACCAGCCGGCACCAAAAGCAACCCTTCCTGCGTTGACCACCACGGTGACGGGCACCAAGGGCACCGTTATATCAGCTTTCGGCTCACTGCCCAAGAAACCAGCTGTCTAATTTTCAACAACACAACTTCCGAATAAAAACTACTCATAAAATGCTTTTGTATTTTGAACTGCGAGCAAATATTCGTGCCGATCTCTGTGATCTCAAACGTTTGCCATCTCTAGCGTGCACATCGATAACACTAATATGCCATATGAGCAGTTTGTAAAAAACATCTTATATATGCGTATACAAATGCTTATGAAATAAATGGATTTGTTTCAACTGTTTTCAATGTTGTAAGTCATTTACAAATATGTTAAAAAACCGCGCAGCAGCGTATCTTTAAAAACATGGTATTTTCATTTTGGTATTTTTGTGCAAGAGGTTCTTCGACATTTTAGCGCTGTGTCAAGTGCGGTCACACTGGTTATATGCTCGAACGTCGTGTCGTCGCCGTTTTCTGTTTTTAACCATTTCACATTTTTTCGTTTTAAAAAAGTCAACAAAGTGTAAATTTTATTGCATGCAACCATTTAAAATAATAAAGACAACTCCAATCGTTATGATTTGAATAAAAAGTGTGCGTGAGATAAATATTCCATTTGTTGTTTTCACATTCCTCCAAAATACACAACAAGAAAAGAAAACGAAGCGAAATGTCGACAACGCAGCAGCAGCAAACGCAGACGGCAAAGAATTTGATCTGAGCAGCGCAATTTGTATGCTTGTGTGTGTGTCTGTGCGTGTGTGTGAGAGTGAGCGAGAGCGAGATTACAATTAAAAATGTACGAATACGAGTGAAATTTGTATAAGATAAAGAAGATGAGGAAGATAACCAAATACACTCACACACAACACACACACACATATGTAGTACCTATAAACAGAAGTATTGAAATAATGAAAAAGTAAAGCGATTTAAAATTTAAGTGTTTATATGCGTTGTGCGATTTTTTGTTTAGGCAATCTTGGCCGTGTTATTATTTCAAGGTGCCTGCCTCATTATTTAGACGCCATTACAATGCAACCGGTATTAAACTGCGTGCCTGTTGCGGTCTGTCTTTCTGTGTGTGTGTGTGTGTGTGAGCGACTGCGAATAAGTGGAGTGGAGCGAGTGCGACAGAGAAGGGCGGCGCAATAGCATATTTCCATTTAGCTGCGCGAGTAGCTTTTTTTTTACCGCCACTCTTCTGCTGTTGTTGCTTCGTGCTGATTACGATTGGTTCTCCTCTGTCCACTGCAGTCGTCCGTCTCGTTTGTCCATCAACAGCCGGTGCTTATTTATAAATTGATGCCGCTGCTGCTTGTTATGTGACTTGCAGTAAAATATCAGCAGCACGGATAGAGACAGAGATAGCAGCAGCAGCATCACTAAAAAAAAAAAAAAAAATTTTTTCAATTAAATCCGCAAAATGCTCAATTGAAGCTAATTTCTATGAAAGTTCCCCACACAGATTGTGTTTCTATTGTGAATTTCTCCTAGCAATTTATGCATATTGAGTTTTGCATGTAACAACAACAAAAAGGAAATTCACCGCGTCCTCCATTTTATCCGCAACAATTGTTAAGCGTTATTTCAATCCCTCTCTCGCTCTTGCATTCTTCTCGCTTGCTCCTGCGCCACCTGTTTGCGTGTTTGCTTTGCATTGTCGTCACATTTCCAGTGTTACCATAACAACAACAACAATAATAACAACTATTCTATTCAATATCGATAGCAAATATAGCAGAAAGAGAGCGCTCACTATAAAAGCACAGTTATTTTGGCGTCAGGTGTTAAAGTGTGAACAACATATATAAATTATTTGAGCTAAAGTAAACAAACCAAAAAAAAACCCACGAAACCTAAACCTAACGAAACGAATAAAAGAAAAGAAGCGCAAAGTGCGTTTGCTCGTCGGTCTCTCTCCCTCTTTGTGTATCGGTGTGTGTGTGTATGCGTGTGCGTGCGTATGCCGTATGCAGGTGAGTGTATGTATGTGTGTGTGTGTTTCTCTCTTGGCGACAAAAACAATAACAGCAAACTGATATACTAAAAGAGGAGCAGCAGCAATAACAACAACAACACACAACGAGTGATTCAACGGAGACAACAACAACAACTAGAACAGCACCAAGAACAACAACAAAAGCAACAAGAACAACAACTACAAACTAAAACATGTCGGATTCATATTATCAGGTGAGTCGACGCCACAGATAGGCCGCATTACATGGTCACTTGTGTTTTTTGTATTTTTATTAAGTATTTTTTTTTTTTTATATACATATATATTTTTTATCAGCTAACATTTAGTCCCGGCACACACCTGTTGCCAGCTACACACACTTAGTTGTTTGTGTGTGCACGGAAGCCAGGAATTTCCGGCTCAGCTGACGCACAGCAACTTGTGGCATATCCTTAATATGCCACTTTACGTTACATTTTCCCTCTGCCCCCCATCCCTTTCCTGTGCGCAACGAACTAGCAATAAATTGTAGTTGCCTGCTCCCAAAACAAGGTGTTAAACAAAAGTTATTCTCTCGAATATATAAAAGCTCGAGCCGATTTTTATGCGCTTTGACACCTAAAATGTTAAATTTAGCTGTGTGTTATCGGGTATATGCTTCATGCTAGACAAAACTGTAGTGTTTACCGTGGCTTATGCTATTTGCCATTATCGAATATTGATTATGAATTCGATTTCTTATCTTATTATACTCTGGACTGAATCCATTGAAAATACGAGGAATGTGTATAATGAAGTTGTGCTTAATATGCAGCAGTATTATATATATATTTATACACATTAAGTATATACATTCCTGACCAGTGTCAACCCTCGAGTCAAAAATGGCCTCGGTTTTAGATACTTTATTTGGTTTGTAAGGTCTCGTTTATCATTAACGATATAAATCGATTTGCGATTGTGAGAAAAGTCTTTAAAAATTGAATCAAAATCACATTGAAAATACGTAAGTTTCTCAAAGTATTTTCATATTGAATAAACTGCTTTTAACAGATGCAGGTAATTTCTCTGTGGGGTTGTGCAAGCAGAGAGCAGCATGATAACTGAATTGAGGTCAAATACGTAAATACAATTATTCTGCAACTAACCGAGACTTATGCGAGGGACAAGAGAGCTCTGTTTTAATAAATGCAATATATTCAACATTTACGTAGTGGGTATCCCCTAGTCGATCCAACCCACAATATGAAAAGACAAACATTTTTGGGTTCTGTCCCTGTCGGGATAGGGGGATTTCCCGCTCATGCCACCAATCGCCGCAACCTAAACTAACCTAACCCAGTCTCCTAGTTGATCTTTCTCGACTAGAGTATTTTTACTTGTTTATTTTTTCTCAGAGAGATTATTTTACAAGCAAGACTTATGCCAATAATAATAAATAATTTTAAAAGCGAACACACTAAAAAATTCCCAAATTTCTATTTTGCTTTCAATAACACATCTAATGAACATTTTTATTTGCTAAGCGCTAAGAATGATTTGCATTAGCCCAATTACTTTTGGACTTTTTGCACATGCTGTTCATCTACATACACATAGCAAATAGTACAATGTTATTATTGTTATTGTGGAGCGTTAACAAACGACAAATGACATCATTGGAATTTTTGTTGGTCATTTTTTTCTCGCATGCTTAAAAAAAATAAAAAGTGTGTCTGTTGCTTGTGCATAAAATGTCAATTGGTTTAAGTGCGTGCCCCACTGAGTAAGCATGTTTATTAATAGCACATACACACACAGTTGCAAGTTGCAAGTGTGTTTGTGTGTGTGCGTCCGCGTAATTAGACTGGTGTCAATTAAAGAGGCTGCCTTATCAGAGCTAATGCGCTTATCAGTAAACAACGGCGGTTGCTTGAACGGGATTTACAGCACGTTCGCATCGTTAAAATTGCACTAATTCAAATTTACTACTGCTGCTGCAAGTCATTTATTTACAGTTAAACAGGCAAGCAAGCACACATTAAAAGGTGGCAAGAGGGTTATGGGCTGGCGGAGGCAAGCCTTATGTCATTGGCCGTGATTTTCAAGGTGAAAATTCATAAGTCACAAAACGTATTTTGTTTTTTGTTTTTTTTTTTTGATTGCAAATTACAAATGTGACTGAGAAGACTTGAAAGGAGAATAAAAATTAAGAAAACCAGATTGTCATTTGCAGTAGCTGTTGGCCAGCTTTTTTTTTGTTTTTGAAATTCCCATTTTAGCCATTTTGTGTGGCCCGCGTGATGCACCTGAAAGCAACTGCAAGTGCAAGTTGCAAGTTGCAAGTTTTGCCTGCTCTTCTTGTCTGGATAACCGGTTCGTCTCCAGGTTTTTATTTATTTATTCTTTTTTTTGTATTTTAGTGGTGCACCAGAACAGGGTCAGGCCATTTTGAATGGGCATCATCGGCCTGGCTATCCATTCCTGAGGAAGGCGAATGCCATATAAAATAGCCCCATTGAGTAGTACTTTGTGGTCCTTAATTGCTATAGTTATTGTCTGTGCAGTTGTTTTAAAAATAGTTTATTGAATGCAATTTCTAAAATTAGTCCCAAGCTTTTAGTCGTAATGCAAACAGCTTAATAAAAAATACAAAAACGTTAATGATAGACTATTAAATTTTTAAAGCTGATTTTAGTACAAGAAAATGTTCGAATTTCATTTAAGGGAGAAACTGCTTGGAGGTGCAGTTTATTAGTTTTTAAACAATAAGAAGATTTTTCATCGATTCAAGGACTCTTTGCAACCCAGAAGGTGGGATCTACAACCAATCTTTCCGAACTATCGAAAAACTATCGAATATATTCTCTTCAGTATTTAGGTCAAAGGTCTAAAAGCAGCCCTTTTTAGAGAAGCATGCACAACAGGGCCTTGAAACACATATTATTTAAATAAATATTTCAAATATGAATCATTTTGCTTTTGTTTTTTACATACAAATGTTATTCAAAGTTTCTGAAAATTGTTTAACATAATTTGACTTTACAGCGCTGTCTACAAAAGTATTTCAGCGCTTCAGCAGCGTAGTTCAACATGAAATACACTCTGTTGTTAACAGCGCTGAAATACTAACAGCACTTCATTAGTTGCTTAAATAACTAAATTCTGTGCACTTCAATTGG